TCTTTCCTGTTCTCATAGCTGGTATTTTCAACTTTAGCTAGTTCAGGGCATATTTTTTCTCTTGAGTATCTGAAAATGCTCAGCTATTATTATATTTTGCTCCAAATTTCCCCCCCCTCTTGACTTAGACTTCTTTTGTCTGTCTTTTTCTCTTTTCTTTTGTACATGTGTCTGCAGGTAGCTTTTATAGCAAAATCTCACTCTGCTTTCCTGCTCTTCCCTCATCCTCTCCTGTTTTGTTACTGCTTTGCCTGTCTGTTTGCTCTTTTCCTCATGCCTAGAACCACTCGTTTACTAATAGATTCCATTCTGTGCCTGTGGAGTTTGTTCATTTTCCCTGTCTTCAGGCACTGAATCACTGACTTCATTGTACAGAAAGGAATGAATCCCCAGGCCAACCTAAGAACAGGTTTTGCTCTCCCATGGCTGCAGAGGAGGAGGATGGTGGCTGAGCTTAAGGGATGCCCATGGCAGGCTCTTGGCTCTCAAGCAGTGAACAAGTTTATTATTGCCAGCAGCCCTCTCACATCCCTTCCTCTAATCCCCAGTCTCTCCCATAGCCCTGGCAGCTTCTTGACAAGGCTGATCAAACTAGGTGAACACATAACATATTCTACAGACAGTGCAGAAATCCAAACAGTCAGTTTTGAGGCCTTTGCCTTGTCTTACCACTGTCATACGTGTGACTATGGCTGGGGTCAGGTGTTTCACACTGGGTTCTTATTTGTATTCAATAATTGCTTACATGCCCACTCCTTGCTTACTGAATGAAATGCACAAATCAGATATAACCCCATCTTAATTGAATGGAGTACAGAATAATTAAATCAGCCAATGACACCATTGTCACCGTGATGCACAATAAAGTAACCCTGAAATTCACAACTAGGGGGGATGGAAACACTCTGAAAAAAGTATTTTCACTTGGAAAATGTGGTAAGAAATTGGCTATAACATCTGGATACAAGTTTAAATTGCACAGGCTGAGATACAGGCCAAGGTAATAAACAGATAACATAATGATCAATCTGCATCAACGACTGGGCTGTGACCAGCAGCCAATGTCTGAGCCATTTCCTGGGGCTCACTGTTGGTGGCCAGGGATGCAAACCCCACTTTCTCTAGTTATAAACTGGGTTTGGTGCAGCTTCCTTCCAGTTCTTATTTTCTTTTCCACGTGTCTCCTACCAGCTTTCCTATACCTACACATCTTAAGGGAATTACAGACAAAAGCACTCTTATGAAGAAGCATATGAAGAACTTGTTTATTTTCCTTTTTTTCCCCCACGTGTCTCATTTTCTGCCCAGCAGATATCTAGCCTGTGTGTGCTGAGCTCCAGCATGCTTTTTCAAACTCTGTCTTTAGGGCTGGTAGTAGGAAGACTAACACATTGTCCACAATGACTCCTCAAAGTCTTGGAAGGTTAGGAAGCAGGCTGGCACTGTATTCCCTCGCTTCAGCAGAAAATAAGAGAGGTTGGGAATATTGCAGGTTTTTTACAATATCATCATTGCTAATCAGGTCTGATTATTCATGCTAGAAGCTGCGGCACAAACAGTTTTTTGACTCTTTGTGATGTTCATATTCTCTGTCTTTTAAAAATAAATACCCAAATTGGCAGTGGCAGAGTGCAGCTGGTCCTGTGGAATCCTGTGACGGACAATACCAGTGTCGCGTTGCCAAAAATAACATTTGAGCACGGCCACAGCTTTTGGGTTAAAGTTGTCCCCATTCACTGAAGCCAGATATTTGCAAATACCAATCACAGAATACCTGGTTTGTTAGTATAAGGCATTTAACCTGGCACTAGAGGTCATTGATAAAGCTGGTAGGGATTTTTCTGGTTAAACTTTCTTCCAATTGAAACCAATCCCTTGTATCACAAAATATTTTGAAGAATTGAATTGATTATTATTTGTTCCCCAATATGTAACACTTGCTATTTTTTCCAACTGCAGGCAAAAAGTATTTCAAATTTCACATTAACATCCTCAGTTAGACTAAAGTTTAGCTTGCTTCAGATTTAGACAGATGTATATACCAAGCTGAGATTTTTCTTGCAGGCCCTAGGAGTCCATTCCAATGGGAGCCTTTTTATAAATAGGAATCAATCTTCAATATGGTTAAATGCACTTTGCCAGAATTTTGCTTAATTTACTTTGTGCAAATGGCCAATTGAATGAGTAATTTGAAGTGTGTCTTCCATGTGATGACTTCTCCTTGTGTAGGCATTGGGGTGTCAGTGAGGGGCACTGCACAGTCTGGGTGGCAGCATCAGAATGACTGTCTTTAATTCACTTGAAATTCATAATTCAGAAGATTTCTGGGATTTTAACAAGGCAAAAGAGAAGTCAAAGATAATCTAGAAATTGAATTTCTTTATAAACACTCCAGGAAGCAAAGGCCAGCATCATTAGGAACCCTGGAACTCAGTAACAACCTCCTGCCACTGAACACTGGATGAAGCCCAGGTTCACCCAAATCATCTTCCCCAGGACCTTTCTGGGGGAACTTTCTACACTAAGTTTAAAGTGCTGACTGAGTAAAACTGAGAGGTCTAAGACAGAAACACATAAGCAGTCCTGGTCAACTACACCTTATTTCCATTGTTTTTACAAGTCTCTACAGCTGAAGTCACTTCAGCAGTAAGTGCAGAAATACTGGTGCCCACGATACTTTCACCACAGTGAAATCATGATGCTTTGACAGATTCAGTAATAAGAATTGCCACAAGGAAACTTCATAATAGTAGCATTTATGAAGTGCTCCTATGAAGAACTATGATTTAGCTCCACTCAGAAAAAAAGTAGTGAATGTAGTGGTAAAAGTTTGACCCTTTCCTTACAGGTAAAGGTCCCGCTCGTGCTGGTACAGTTGTGCTGGCAGTCCTGCTCAAAGTGTACTCACAGATGCAATCAGAGAGGAGAGATATTTGGAAGATATGGATGGTTTGGAGAGAATAGCCACCTATTTATTGGTTCAAACCATTAGAGTAAGAGGCTTTCCTGAGCTGTGCTCTGGAGAGGGAATGGGAATGGTACAGGATTCCATGAATTCCTGCTCTAAGAGAAGAGTAACTCCACTTAGTTGCATCGGACATGCCAATATTAGAGCTGAAAAGAAACTCCTGAGAGTTTTTATTTATTACAAAATAGCAATTCCTTAAAATAACATGTTTCTGTGAAAGGGCTGACTTAGCAAACTTACCCTTTAAAGGTAAAATTATCAAAAAAGATTCAAATAGTGTTCCAATACTTTGGGGGTAATTCTGAACAGAAAAGTTTCTTGTTTTCAATCCAAAATAATATTTTTCTTTTAAAATGTGTCTCAACTTATCTTTTATATATATAAAATTTTGAAATCATGACAAAATGTTTCTCCTGATCTGACACAATATTTGTAAGAAAAAGAGTCCCACTTCAGATTTCATTCCTTTGGTAAAAGAAAAAAAATACCCACTCGCTGTAAAACTCTTTTTGTATGGGAAAATAATTCCTCATTCAGCTCTATTATCCACAACCCATTTGTTCCCTATTAACAACCAATACCAGCAAGAAGAATCACCCTGTTATTAGGTGATGGCACTTGTAACACTTTTCTCCAGCTACCTCAGAGTGCCCTCCCAGCCTGGGTGCACATGTCTGTGGTTACAGAGCTGTGCAGAGGCTGCACCAGGCAGCAGGGATGGGGAAAGAACTTAAAAAACACCTTCGCTTTCTTTTCTCTCCCAGCAGCAAACCTGTTAACTGACTTCAGAGCCCCTGCTTGTTAATGAGCTGGGCAAAGACAAGTGACTCAATTCCCTTGAAGTCCTGGCAAACTGCAGGGATATTTGGCTCCTGCCAGATCCCTGTGGGCACTTGGAGGATGGTCCAGTCCATCCATCACAATAAAGCACCTTTGCTGTAAGGGACCAGCTTTCTCTCTACATGATCTCTACCCAGTGCTTGGTGCTGAGGGAGTTCCTGTCACCAATCCAGCACCATGGTTTCATTGCAGGAGAAAAATGTGTTTGTCTGTGATTGCAGAAGCTGTGACAAGGTTCTAGGATTGCCATTCAGCTGTAATATCTCAAAATCTACAGCCTGGAGGAAGACTCAGCGAAAAAGATATGCTGACCATGTTGAAATCTGTTGAAATTTAGGTTTGCAGACGGAGTGTAGTACACAATTCTGACCAAGTGTTTTAGAGGCTGGAGCCGAACATTAAGAACAACAAATACATCATGTTATATCTTAGAAAGAAAAGTATACAGGTTGTATTCTCTACTTTAAAAGGAACAAATCAACTGCAGGATGGATATGGGGCGAGTGCTGGTATAAAGCTGTAATTAGCAGTAATTAGCTCCTGCTTTTCCGTATGTCTGCTACAAAAAACATTACTTTAGTATGATATTGTGATACCCACTGGCAGGGAAAAGGAGAAAACATAAGGACACAGTGTTTGCTTTGATGAAATCACCCAATGATAGTCCCGAAGCAGCAAAGCCCATTCTGCACTGGGGGCATGTGCACAGAGCACAGCCCAGGGCTGTGCAGAGAAGCAGGCTGGGGCTGGGAGCAGTGGCAGTGCCCACGTGCAGCAGCCCTGCCCGAGCCAAGGGAAACCAGCCTGGCTGTTTAACTGCACACAGCCACACAACCACCCTGCATTCAAGACAACTTGGAACAAACTCCATGTTTGGGGTTGTATCCTAATGCTGCAGCAAATTCACTGTTTGTGTTGGTGTTCAGTCGTTTTGAAAACCTAATTTCTAGTTCAAGGATCTTTTTATACAAAAGTTACCACGTGTTGCTGCCATCACTTGTCAGCCTTTAATCGTGCCATGAACTGTTTGAAGTACAGGTTTGCCGGACTCAAACTCCCACTTTGTAGCAAATGCTGTTTTGTTGCATGGAATCCCACGGCACACCCTGTCTAATCTGTACCCGAGAACGATGTCAAAACCTTAAGACTAATTTACTTTTTTCTTAACGTTTGTCAATTTTCTTTAATGCAGATCCACCACAGATGAATAATGTCATGCCAACATCTCCCCTCCTTCCTCAGATGGCACATCAACATTCATATCCCAGCCTGGGACAGATCACAAACCCGTATGAGCAACAGCCCCCAGGCAAAGAGCTTAACAAGTACGCCTCTCTAAAGGCAGTGGGTAAGTGAGCGATGCATGACTTCCTCACGTCACCGGGCTGCATTTGCTGCTGGCAGCTGACATGCTGCTTCCAAGTTAACAACAAAGTCTTGCTCATCTGGACTGCTTCATGAGACAGTTTCATATAGAATACCCCATAGGAGAGTTTAATACAGAATATCATGGTAGTTGGGACTGTAATGAAGATTAACAGGGGCAGCAGAGTGGTGACCCCGTGCAGGGGTGTTTATATATGCACACAAAACCACAGCACTCCCACTGCAAACCTGTTCCCAGCAACTTTCATCTATGTTGCATGCACAGTATTCAGCATCAGTTCTTTATGCCCTGGATCTGCAAGGAGTAGGGAGTTGGGTTTGATGATCCTCGTGGGTCCCTTCCAAACTGAGATAACCTCTAATATGCCTGTGTATGCATTGTGGTGTGTATTTTCTGTAGCTATCTGCACTAATGAGAGAGAAAACCAGCAGATATGCTTCAATTTTAAGCATAAAATTTAGATACCTGCTAAAAACTTCCAAAGAGAGAAGGCACTTGTACACTTCCAAATTAAGAGTTTTCACATTTCCTGTAGGATGTGCATTAGCAGGTCCCTGGAGGAATATTCTGAGGTCTTATGATTTCAAACAATTAGTGCATGATAAAGCTCCTACTAAAGATCCCAGTGGTGCCTGTTTTCTGTGACTGGTTAATATTATTTTAAGCTAATGGGAGAACACCCTTGAAGAAACAGTTGTGGGGAGGAAAAAGACAATAGTGGGTTAAAAAGTCAAAATAATTCCCTTATTGGATGAGTAAATTGATAACAGTTTTCAGGGGCTGTAAATACCTTTTGCACACCCTGTGAAGGCAGAAAGCCTTTATCACCTTATATTTCAGGCCCCTTCCAGACAATAATACTGTCTATACATTAAAAACTGGGGGGATCTATTCATAGCTTCACACTAACCCTTGCTTAGCTCACACATATGGATGTTAACATAGTTTTCCCATACATTTAGAGCAATGTCACACTGCCTATTTTCAGAGATATTTATCTCAGAAAAACAGCAGAACAGCTGAGAACATTCTGATTTAAGAATCTAGTATTCATCACACCAGAAAAACTTTTCAGCACAAACTGACTTTGCGTTATCTGCATTTCAGGGTAGCAGAACTCTAATGAAATGTACATCAAAGTCCCATCTCAAATAGTTCAGTTTTGCTTTAGAGCTTCTCAGTTGTGTTCCTTACAAGTGGCATTTTAAAATCTATTTATAAAAGCAAGGGCTAATAGCTTTCTGCTGAATTTCGAATACTGAGTAGCTTTACAATTCCCTCTCCAAAAGGTGGTTCTGTGTAATGATGTGGTGATTATCACAGATTTATGTGCTGATATCAGGCTGCTTTTTCAGATGTCAATTTAGGTCAAGCCAATCATCAAAGCTAAAAGGTACTTAAGCATAATAAAATGAGAGATGAAACACTGTAAGAAACTTCTCTCATCTGCCCAAGAGCCACTGAATGTACCTTTTAAAAAAAAATTACTAAATTAGAACCTAGATATTTCTTGTGTGTCTGAGGACAGGTTTTTAAAACAGCTAGATTATAACCACACAGTTAAATGAACCCTGAAAGATTGTGCACTTCAGCTCAGAAGTTGTATAATGCCTCTCAGAATCTTAGACTGAATTAAACATAACTTTCAGGGACATTTTCTTCCAAGAGGATTGTACCATTTTCCCATGCTTTCCCCCTATCCTTCCTATCCCCTCTCTCTTTTTTTCCCCGTAGATCTACCAGTCTCAGACCCTATTAGCCAAGTTTTAGATGCAGGTGAGTTCTCACAAGTACAAAAGTGCTGCATCCAAACTTTTCAGCAGAAAACAAGAGATTTTGAAACTGTTATACATTTGCACCTTCTGTTTGGACACATGGAACAAGAATTAAACACACTCAGTTTTCAGCCATTTTCAGACTCTCGAGTCCACGATTCCTCCCAAGAGTAGCTCTTGAGTACATCCCAAGATCACAAAGGGGTTTTTCCACGATGCCAGCCAGGCCTGGCTCTGTGACCCCACTGACATCAAGCAATGCAGACTGCACATGGCAGAGTTCAGACTGGCTTTATGAGAGCTCTGAGAGGAAATAGGACCTGGCCTACATCAAGCCCACCAATACAAATTGAACCTGACAACATCTTTTGAACAAACAGACACCGACTGAGTTTGGGTATTTGTGTCACAGGGTGAAGGCACTTTTTGCCTGCTCACATTCAGAGTCATATTCATGGATCCCCAGAGCAGCTCAACGAGTGTGTGTAGTCCTGTTCCCTTTGCATTCATTGACAGTGGCTTGAGGGTGTATTCATTTGCCACAACAGAAATTTATAAGGGATTTGTTCTATATTTCCCCATCCGTTTGAGGCAAACCACATTCATTTAAGTGCCCCTTACTCTGCACGAGCCCATTGTCTGGGTGTAGTCCACTGTGCTTAACACTTTTCTTTAGTGGGGGGCTGGGGGTGGAGGAAGAAGCACTGCTGCTGCTTTGTAGCAACTGTAGCTGTGGTACATTAACATCACTCATCAGAATGTGGCCATAAGTGGTAAGAAGTTTAGATAACTGAAAAAGTGAAGCTTTACCAGAGGCAGTTTTAAATTAATTTCTACACAGCTGCTTTCCTCTGAACTACAGATGTCCTAAAAATTTGGCTAATTTTAGAAGTGAGCTACTCATTCCTCAGTGACTGACTGCTGTGAAAATTCACTTCACGGAAAAGTAGCGAGTCCCAGTAATCTCTGTTTTGATCATCATCAGGACCTCCATCAAATTCAGTGAGGATTCAAGTGCTCGTGGAAACAAGAGACAACAGTGCCCTTGCTCTTAATTTGCACTGTGTTACTGAATAAGAACCATACCATACCATACCATACTTTGGTGGTGAGGCCAAGCTGATCCCTGTTTTAAAGCTACAGCCCGGCCTCCAAAGGATACAACTTAGCAGAGTGCAGCTGGAATTTGGACTGTTCATGCATGTGTGCAGTGCAACATGGCAAGTGCAGAGTGTCTGGTTCAGCACAACAGGGGAGAAAAGAGTAGAAAAGGCCAATGTGGATGCATTTTATTTAAAAATACAAATACTTTTCTGTGAATGAGTTCAAACTGCACAGCCAAACCCTTATACAGTCAATGGAAGATGATGTTTTCCTCATTTCTTGTTAGGAGTTTCTTTATTTGTTGTAGCCTCCAGAACTCCTTAAGGACTGGCCATGGCTGCTGACCAAATTCACCTTTTCCCCTTGCTGTCTGCTGGCATTTACATCTCCGAATGATGTGAGGACATTCTGTGCCTATTTTATATTCTCAGATGAGTCCTTGGAGCACAACAAGGTAACAGTGAGCAGAGATCTGCTTGCTGGTTTCCTCACTGCACTACAATTTTGCTCTCCTTCTGCCTTGGCACATAAACCACAGAGCAGTAATGAGCAGAAGGTAGAGGATCACTTGGAAATGAGGAGAGCAACACACATTTCCTGAATGAATAGATAAGAAGTCTATCACTCAGCATCTCTGACTATCTAACTGACTGACCTGACTTACTGATAGGTGCACTCTCTTCATCCATTATTTTTCCATTTTCGAGCCACTGAATCTCTTGTCAACAGTGCCAGATTTTTCCTACCAAAGAATTTGAGAGACTATCTGAGTGAAAAGGGTTAACAAGCTCCAAGAGCAGTCCCATGAAAATGGTCACTGAATGTTGTGTGGCCATAAACACCCAGCATTCAGATATTTTGATTTTTTGGTCACCTGAGACAACATGATCCTCATTTCCTTCAGTGCTTTTGCATTTTTTGATTATTTATGTGAAAAGTGCAGAAAGAGGTTTTTCTGCATAAATTATTCTTGCTTCCAGTTCATCAACCATGTTTTTACTCCATGCTTAGATGGTTATTGCTCACTTAAGCAACACTGACATGCCTAAAGCTACAAGTGGATGGAGATCTTGTAGCTGAACACCTTCATGAAATTCAAGTCCCAGGACATACAAAGGTAGCTCATCACAAATTTTTATGCACATCATTTGGACATTCATTTGGGAAGCATGAACAATCCAACAAATTCCACTCTGCTAAACTGTAAGAGTTTTAGCCCATCCTGTTGCTTAATAAGAGTTTCCTCAAGCTCAAACTGGCCTCATTATCCTGAGGTATTAGTTCTATTATTCAATCTCACTGTTCTGCGAGCCTGGCTCAGTAACAGTTAATTTTCTTTCTTTAATTTTCACTTCCAGGGAGTGCAAAGGTACAAACTTTCTTTAGAATTTCTTGCAGAAATTAAAAAATATCCCAAACCAAACTTCTAAATCCCTGGGAAAATGGTCACTCAGCTACTGGAGAGGTGCACAGACATGCAAGTAAAAGCTGTGAATACAAGTATTTATACAGTTTAACGTGATTTTATATTTCTTTCATAAACTTTCTTCTTCCCTTCTCACACACACACACAAACCTTTGATAAATTGACTGGACATGACTATGCCAAAAAAAAAAAAAATACAATAGATAGAATTCCTCCCTGAAACACAGACCTGGAAAACCTTCCCTGATGCTGGGATTTGTTAGTCTCCTGTGGGATTAAATCAGATCTAATTGATTGGATATAGTGAGGCTAGGAGGAGAATATAATTGGCAGCAGACCCACCGTCACATCTCTGAGTCTACAGCTCCCAGCATTTCTGGGAGCTGCACAGTTCTTTGATCCCAAAGGAAACATTAGACAGTGCTCCAGCTCTGCTTGCAGTTGCAAAACTGCAAAGTGAGATTCTGCAAATATGACACTCAAAGAATAAATATCTCCTGGTTAGGTCTCTGCAGAAAATCGTGTGGCCACAAGTGTGTCAGTGCACAAGGCAGCTTCTTCCTCAAAAAGGGAGAAAACTGCCCTGGCTGTGTGTCCTCTACACACACAGAAGCATCCTCACCACGAAGTGAGCTCTGGGCTGTTATCTTTGAAGC